TTAATGTTTTATAAAGAGCAGATATTTAACTTTGTGAGTAAGGCACACTGGTGAAGATTCCGGTATCTCCCATTGCAGTGCCTGGGGTCCAGCTCAGGCTCCTGCAGACTCTCTTTGCTGGAGCAGACTCGGGTACCAGCAGTTACGGCTCTGCTCATTGGGTTTCTCATACTCATTTTGGAGAGCTGGATTAAGTGTCTGGCTTTTTGGCTTTCACTTATTCTAGTCCTCACCCTTGCAGGAATTTGTGGATTTGACCAGCAAACAGGAGCACTCTATCTGTATGTTTCCGAAAGAATTCCAAGAATTCTTCATTCAGCTTTCTTTTTCCTTTTACCTAGAGACGTTCAAAGAAGACGATTATTGGTTGTCAGTTTTCTCCTTATTAGATCTGGTTTATGATTATGCTTATTTGGTAATAATCTACATAATTAACACTTGGCTCTTAGATATGAGTTATAAAAGCTTGACTGTCTATGGCTCCATGAGAGAAGTTCTCAACCTACTTAGTAACATATCTACTAACATATCTACTGACTTTTCAGTGACAAAATTCCCCAAGCAGGAGGTTGAAAGAATTGGAGTAAAATGTTCAGGTTACATCAGAAAACCTAATTTTATAGTATTTAAAAATATATATACTATATATATATATAGTATTCCGTACAACTCAAACCTATTGTCATCACTTGCTCAACAGACTTTAATTGTTCCAATCATCCAGTTAATGGATAAATTACTAGATAAGGAAAAGAAGATAATTGATTCTTACCTACTCAGTCATTTATGGTCACATATCCCTCTAAAGAGGCTGCCACAATTATCAACTTAAAGTTGCCTGAAAATGTCATGTTTTGATGTGAGGCATATGCAAGTTAAAATTTTCTAGTCAGTGAAATTGGAATTAATTTTAATACAGTTGTTTAAGCAATAAAATCTAATTTCTTAAATTATTTTTGTCAGTCAATATAAAATGTTTAACTAGATATTTTTACCTGCTGTTACTAAGTTAATATTTCACTTTTACATCTTATTTTTGTTATGTCAACCTCACATGTTCTGTTTGCCACACCACGAGGGATGTTAAACATGTTGAACAATAAAGGATCTACTCAGGAGACAAAATTGACAGTGGTAATTCAGATGAAGAAAATAAAGAATGATTGATTATTTAGTATTTCTTTATCTGTGGCCGGCACAATAGCAAAGCTAACCCTCTCCCTGCAAATGCTGGCAGCCCAGCTGTTTCATGTCCCAGATGCTCTGCTTTCTATACATCTGTTTATGGCCTGGGGATGCAGTGTAGGATGGCCAGGGGCCTTGGGCCTCTGCACTCATGTGGGAGTCCTGGAAGAAGTTCCTGGCTCCTAACTTAGTACCATCTCAGCTGTGTCCTTGGTGGCAATTTGGTTAGTGAATCAGTGGATGGAAGACCCTTCTCTTTGTCTCTTCTTTGTGAAATCTGCATTTCAAACAAAAATAACTAAATATTTTTTTAATTCCCTTTTTTGGTATTGCACATTAAACCATTGTGTACTTAGTGACTAAAATTGAAAAACCTTGACACCAGTTTCTCAGTAAGAACATGATGGATGCATGCAGATCTCGAGATCCGTGGCTGGTTTACCTGTCAGATGGCACAGCCACATTGGAACACGTGAAGATTGAGAGTAAATATCCCAGCAACTGTATTCCTACATTTACTAGGGTATTTTTTAAAGTTTGTGGAACTTGGGCCCGGCGCGGTGGCGCAAGTGGTTAAGGTCCTCGCCTTGCACGCCCGGGATCCCATATGGGCGCCGGTTCTAATCCCGGCAGCCCTACTTCCCTTCCAGCTCCCTGCCTGTGGCCTGGGAAAGCAGTCGAGGACAGCCCAAAGCTTTGGGACCCTGCACCCACGTGGGAGACCCTGAAGAGGCTCCTGGCTTTGGATCAGCATAGCATCGACCGTTGTGCTCACTTGGGGAGTGAATCATCGGACGGAAGATCTTCCTCTCTGTCTCTCCTCTCTGTATATCTGCCTTTCCAATGAAAAAATAATAATAATAAAAAAAATAAATCTAAAGTTTGTGGAACTTAAAGGTTTATTTTAGTGTATGTTTTTTTTTCAATTTGTGCGTATATTTTCCTAATAGATATTTTCTACAAAGTTTCTGAAAAAGCCTTGTATGAGTAACAAATTTTAGACTGTCTATAGAGAACCTCAGTTGTAATTATAACAGCTTTATTTATAATTGTTGAGCAGTTATACCTAAATGTCTGTTATTAAGTGAATGTGTGACAAAGCATATCTTTGCAATGGAATATTAGTAATAAATTGAAATACCTTCAAAACAGTTTGGTGTCAGAGGAGGAGGAAGTTTGAATAAGTAAAGCATGGAGGATTTAATTTTTTCATTTGTTTGAGAATCAGAGAGATGAACTAAGATTTTTTGAAGATCTATTCAATTTTTATTTAAAAGGCAGATTTACAGAGAGAAAGAGCAGCAGCAGGAGAAAGCTCATTCTTGCACTGGTTCACTCCTCAGATGTCTGCAACAGCTGCAGTTGAACCTGTTAGCAACATGAGCTGCTCTCCTGTGTGGGTGCAGGGCTCAAGGACTTGGGTGTCCTCTACTGCTCCCCCAGGCCGTGAGCATGGAGGGGAGGTGGGCAGCAGAGACGGGAATCAGCACTCTGGTGGGATCCCAGGCTCTTCAGGTGGAGGAAGAGCCCCTGAGCCACCCTGCCAGCCCCAGCTCGGGCGGGGGTCGGGGAGATTTTTAAGATAAATATTTTTTTCATGGTTTCATAATTTTGTATATCTGTAATTTAGGGCTTTCATATAGATTCCTGGAACATAATAGTCTGCCATTAAGGAACCAGATATTGCAAATCATAACATCCCAAACACAGGGAAAGGGATATATTTAGTCAACTCAGAGTTCCCAATAATGAAACCTGAAACTATTTGAATAAAAAGGATATTGAATCATAGTCCAAAGTATAAAATGAATGTTGGTCAGTATATACTGATATAAATGGTTGTCATGCGGAAGATTTCCAGATAATCTGTAAATTCTACTCCCCTCAGGGAGACAGAGTGGGATTCCTGACCGCTTATCTGAGCAGGATGTAGTGACACTATTTCCCGAAGGCTGTGATTTGGGAAGGGAGGAAGGGAAGTGGGGAAACCTCAGCTCAGTGGTTAAGATCAGCATCAGATAGACCATGCCGGTAGCTTGTATTCTTGATATGAGGTAATAAAAGTGACACTTGACCTCTCCCTTCTTCCTCTCTCAAGTTCATAATCCCAGTGACCCAGTAAAAGCGGGGAAAGTGTCAGGATATTTAGGGAAATGCTTGAGCAGCCCTCTTCAGTGTCGCACAACCGTGGAATCTGAGAAAGTCTCAGGGCAAGAGGAGCTTAGGAAGATAGGAGGCTGAATGTAATAGGGTGTACTGCGTGGTTGCCTGGACAAGAAAGGGACTCGTTTAGGGGTGGGGAGGTAGGAGGTGGTGGCTGGGGAGAGGGAGAGAACCTGAACCAAGAATGAACTTAATGTTTGTGTATGAATATTGATTCATTAATGAGACAGGTGCATCATACTAATGTAGAATCGTAAAGATGTGTGTATTTATTTGTAGGTCAAAATAACAGAAAGGACAGACAGATCTTGCAACAGCCCTGACTGTGTCAGACCAAAGTCAGGAGCCTGGGCCTGTCAGAGACCAAAACCCTCTGAGACAGCAGCTGCTGCTTTGGCAGGTGCATTAGCAAGGAGCTGGGCAGGAAGAGAAGCACCTAGCAAGCAGACTGGCATCACGGGTGGTGGGTCAGCCTGGCATATACCATGTTGCTGAATAGTAGGAGTAACTAGTTATGAAGTAGTCATCAATGTTTTTGAAAACCTAAAACTATTCTAAAAATAAGCATTATTTCAAAACAAGCAATTAACTGATTGTGTATTACTTTCCACGCAGTTGGGTGGGTGGTGTTTAGGGCCTGGACTACTAACAGGAGTGAGAAGGTTGCTATGGAGAGCATCATTGTGGCAGGCATAGGAGGAAGGTCCTGAAGCCAGGCAGAGAAGCCCCTCCGTGCTGTGCTTTGTGACATTCCTGCGCGCTCTGTATTCACAATGCAGTGTAGTGCAGCAGATTTCAGGGGAGTCCTGCACAAAGTGGGATAAATAAAAGTGAATTCGGAGATGAGAAACAAAAAACTGGTAACTGGACTACAGCAGGGGATGAGTGAATGAATTGATTAATACAGAGTACAAGGAGGGAGAATGAACGATACCTAGGATATGCTTCCAGCTGACACTGCCAGGCAAGGAGTGCCAAGAGGGAGCCGTACCTCGGGGCAGAGAAAGTCACGTGGCCTGTTCAGAGACCATTGCAACACATACATATCTGTTGTGTTTACCAACACTGATGTCATTGCAAAATTTGCTGAAACTAGTCATTAATGAGTTAATGAATGAGTTAATGGAAATAAATAAGTTGACTACAAATAATTTTTACCAAGTTTGGCTCTCAAGATGAGACAGATTATGTGATGCTTAATTAGAAGTGGGAGTGGGGAAAGAGACAGATTAATACTTTAATTAAAGAATAGATTTTATTAGGTGAGAAGGTTTGCTTTATTGTGGCATGATGAAGAAATAAGTGCGTGCTTTGGAAAAGTTGAATATACAAGTACGTTTTTCATTAATATCAAACGAAGATGGAAGGAAGGCATAGTTTAAATATTGAACATTGACATTGTTGTGTAAAGTACTGAATCAGTTTTGTACTTTATTTTACAGTGTATATAATAGATATAAACTTTAAAGTTTTTCTGCTTACACTTTATTCTTCTCACTGGAAACAAATTGTAAGGCTTCCTTTGATTAAAGAGTCTATCTTATCAGTGAAAGTGCTACATAGTTTTGTGGCATCAAATTTAATTGAGATCATTCAGTGTAAAGCAAAATAAGCCTTTATTTAATGTAGCTTTACTTTGTCTTTTTCTTCAGTCTACAAATAAGAAACCTCGAAAGTCTCCAGGAGAGAAGAGCAGAATTGAAGCTGGAGTTCGAGGGCCGGGCCGGGGAAGAGCTAATGGGCATGCGCAGCAGAACGGCGAAGGGGAGCCTGTCACACTGTTTGAGGTGGTCAAACTGGGGAAAAGTGCGATGCAGGTAAATTTTGAGTGTTGTTATTTCATGTGTAAAGTTTTACAGTCAATAAGTTACGTGGAACCTGTTATTGCATATGTTATGAGTCTTGTATTTCAATCATGTAATACAGAAGTTTCTTAAAGGTTTTGATTTGGTTTGTAATGAGCATGAGGAAAGACATTTTATTTAATAGTACAGTATGTTTGAAATTAAGTTTTGCTGGCCTGTAGAACTTTTATTGCCCTTGTGTTTTTAATTCGATATAATAAAATAGCATATGTATTGCAAAGCATTTGATAGAATTACAGGGTGTGCTGTAGTAATCTTATGTAATAAATTAAAAGCCAAATGACAAATTTCTATCTATTTCATGTGTTAGAGGTCTTTTGTAACCATTTACTTCTATTTCTCCTCTTTGCATACTTAATGTTATTAAGAATTTGAAGAGCAGCTTACTGGCTTTTTACTAATTTATTATAAGAACAAGCCATAATTGTTTTAGAGCTTGTTCAGTATGTTTTATAGTTTTCAGTATGATAAAATGTTTCATTATTCATGTTTATATGTTTTTTATATATTATACCTGGAATTTTTGGATAAAGGTTAGTTTCTAATTCTATAATAGAGAAAATAAAGCTAGATTTCCTCTCAAAAATGATACTGGTTTACCTTTTACCAAAAGTTCTACATTGTTCACATTTTCTTTTCTGGTAGTAGCAATTAGGTTCTTTATATGTAAGAATAACTTGAAAATAGAGAATAACATAGGAATTAATAGTTGGATGTGAAGTTATTTTACCATCAATTAGTAATAGTGCTAAATCTTTGCATTTAATATTTTCTTTTTTGCTTGTTTTGTTTTGTTTTTCCCCCATTACATGGTTTTCTGCATTTAAGGGATTCCTTCTTCTACCTCCCCTTCCTCCGTCATCATTCCCCACTACCCCAAGTCCTTTGTTTTTCCCATAGGCTCACAGAGTTTCCCATCCACCCTCCCCATTCGTTCCCCTTTCCCTCCACTGACTTCGCCTAAATTATTACAGAAGCATAGTCCTTTAGTAAGAGCCGCAAGTTCATTGTTCTGCTACTTATGTATAGCCTGACATTGTGGGCAAAGACAAAGGTACAAAATCCAACATCCTGTTATCAAGATACATTAAGCAGCTTCACTGGGAGTTCTCTTTGATTTGGTAGTAGATATGTGTACTGAAACCTACCTTCACTTCCTGGTGTGCCGGTCTCCATTGCACAGTCCATCTGTACAGTTTTGTGTTTATACATGTTTACATATATGTTTTTTTGCATCAATGTTGCCTTATATCAGAGAGAACTTATATTTGTCTTCTTGGTATTGGCTTATTTCACTAGGCATACTGATCTCTAATTGGGGCCATTTTGATGCAGATGGCAGAGCTTCACTCTCTTATTGGCAGGTTACTGTTCCATGGAGTGGTTGTACCACAGTTTCTTTTCAACAAGCATCTAAGTTGTTTCCATGTCTTTACTCTTTACTATTGTTGATGAAGATGCCATAAATGCAGGATTACAAGTCAGTTTCTCATGCACATTTTTCATTTTAAAAAAAAAAGATATATTTATTTCAAAGTCGGATATACAGAGAGGAAGGTGTTCCAACCACTAATTTCACTCCCCAAGTGGCCACAACAGCCTGAGCTGCACCAATCTGAATCCAGTACCCTGGAGCCTCTTCCGGTTCTCCCATACGGGTGCTGGATCCCAAGGCTTTGAGCCCTCCTTAACTGCTTTCCCAGGCACAAGCAAAGATCTGGATGAGAAGCGGAGGTGGCGAGATTAGAACTAGCCCATATGGGATTCTGGGGCTTGTGAGGCAAAGATTTTAGCTGCTAAGCTATTGTGCTGGACTCTCATGTGCAGATTTCACTTCCTTTGTATATATTCTCAGGCATGAGATAGCTAGGTTTTATGATAGATCAATTTAGTTTTCTTCATCTCTCTGTACTGATTTCTATAGTAGCTGAATAATGTACATTCCCACCAACAATGGAGAAGGGTACTTTCCCCCCCGCCACATCCATGAAAGCAAGTGTTGTTAGTTGAGTTCCACGTGTCGGCCCTTTCCACTGGATTAGGTGGGACTTCAGTGTGGTTTTCATTTAGAAAGTATTTGGGTAGTTTCTGAAACAGAATTTCATATAGAGGTATAATGAGTTTTTTTTTATGTGTGTTTCCTTTTTGATCCCTGAAACAAATTTAGTATTTAGTGATATTCATATGTTACCACAAAGGTGGCCTAAAGCCTTGGGACCCTATACCTGCGTGGGAGATCAGGAAAAAGCTCCTGGCTCCTGATTTCAGATCTGCTCAGCTCCAGCCATTGAGACCACTTGGGGAGTGAACCAGCAGAAGGAAGATCTTTTTTTCTCCTTTTCCGTGTAAATCTGATATTCCAATTAAAATAAATTGCAAAAAGAAAAAAATGATACTCAGATGTTACAGGAGACAACAAATTTTTTGGTGTGGTTTTTATTTTTTATTTTTTTGAGTGCTGGGAATTCAATATAAGTCCCCCATTGGGGTTCTAGGAACCCAGCTACATGCCCCTATTGCTTCCTGTTACACTCTTCCTTATTCTTCGGGATACTGCTGATCTGTGATCGACTGTCAAAGATGTCTTTAGACTAAGACTTTCTGATTATCAGTAAGTATCGAATGCTGATTCCATCTTGTTTTTGATGCTGTGTGACCACTTAACCATATTCCCTCGTAATCGTATCTGGCTTTTAGTAAGGAAACCACATTGATTTGCAAGGTTGTGAATCCCGTTGCTTCGTTGCCTTGTGAGTCCCGCTTTGGAGCCAGATTGCCAAGGAGAGTTGTGAGTGTGCAGCTCTTACGTGATGGATCCAGTCCAGTGATCCTCTTGGACTTTTAGGTGTCAGTGTCAGCGCCGGGGAGGCTGTGACTCAGAGCTGTCACGGCAGCATTCCAATGGACTGTTGCAGCCACTCGCAGCTGCGCAATCTAAGTCATTACATCTGGAATCTCCAGTGAGTGTACTCCCAGTGAATGTGGCCTAATGTAGGTTTTTTTAAAAAACACTTTTTAAAGATTTATTTATTTTTATTGGAACGTCAGGTTTTGCAAAGGAGAGATGGGGAGAATGCTCTTCCATCTGCTGATTCACTCCCCAAATTGCCCCAGTGGCAGGAGCTTTTTCTGTGTTTCCCACATGGGTTCAGACTTACAAGACTTTGAGCCATCCTCAACTGCTTTCCCAAGCTAAAAGCGAGTAGCTGGATGGGAAGTGGAGAAGCCAGGACACAAATTGGCCCCCGTATGGTATCCTGGTGTGTGCTAGGCAAGGATTTCAGCCATTAGGCTATCATGCCGGGCCCAGCCTAATGTTTTACAGTCCATCTTCTGTAATCAGATACTTTTAGAATCTACTCCCACACATGTTTTTTCAGTTTGTGTGGAGTATGTGAAGAAATAAGCTATTTCTTCATGGGTTGTAGTGTGTACTTGTCCACTCTGAAACAATACAAAATATGGCCTGAGGGTCCTAGTAGATATGGCTGGCTATAGTGAGGCCTCAGGAGAATATCTCTCTTCAAAACATTTGCCCATGTAAAACTATCAGGGGTTTTCAAACAGCAGCAGAATAATCTCCGATACTCAAAAGGCAGCTGCTTTGGGTATGGGAGACTAAATTTCGTAGTAATGGGAGAGAGAGCCGTTTGCGTTGTTAGTTTCTTCTGAGGCCAATCATATATTTTTGTTCCAGGTTTCAGAATTCTATTCCTTCACAATCAGTGCCATAACTTTGAGATGAGAAACTTGGTAAGGATTAATTTAGTTGTTGTACAATTAAATTTCACTTGACTTTCAGTTTTATTAGCTTCATTAGAAAAATCTTTCTTGGAGTCAGTGCTATTGCATGGTAGGTAACCCTCTGGCTGCTCCACTTCCAGTCCAGCTCCTTGCTTGTGAAATAGGAAAGCAGTAGAGGATGGCTGAAGTTCTTGGCTCCTTCATCCACCTGGAGGAAGGTGTGGTTTAGTTCAGCAAAGCTCTGGCCATTTGAGGAGTGAACTAGCAGATGGAAGATCTCTGTGTCTGGTGTCTCCAACTCTGCCTTCAAAAAGTAAAATAAGTCTTTAAAAAATGCGGGCTCCTGTGGGCATTCTTCAACAGATTTAACTGAGAGATAATGGACTTCAGGTTGTATTTGCTCTTGGTAATCACTCAAGTGTACTTAAAATGATTTTTCCACTGCTGCACTTACAATCATTCTAAGTGCCACAATGCTCAAATACAGTACCCACTTAACCTCACAGAGCATGCACTTGAGTCAGCACTTCATCATGATAAGTTACAAGGGATGGCGGTGTTCATTTTCTCAAGTTCCTTTGTGCTGTGGATTATTGGCACTCCCATCCCAAAGATTTTACTCAGATTCCCAGATCTCATTTTCTTTTTTTGGTTGACTCAATTCTTTATGTATCTGGGTTCAGTAAGGACTCAAAATCACAAGGTCATTTGTGTTGGTAAAATTTATTATAAAATCTAAATTATGATGGGATAATAACTGTTAACAATGTAAAAATAACTGGAGGATTCTAGAGACTTTTCAAGGAGAGACACATTTGGAAATGATACAGTGTGCTTCTCCAAATTATAATTTTGCCTTTTTGGAGAAGTTATAATTGCACTTCATTGGGTGACACAGAGATTCAATAGGCTGCCTTTGCCAAAGCTGATTAGTGGTTGATGGGCAGCACAGAACAGCAAACTCAAGTTTAGTTGTGTTGACTGTGGTAGACAGTTACATTAACAGAGTGAGGGGACTGTTCGAGGGTGAGACATGGAGTACACCACTTACCTCCAGAAGGTCCCGTTCCCAGCCCAGGGTGCAAAGTTGACAAAAGTTCTGTACACTCTTGGATTTTAGACTTTAGCCAACTACTGGATTTTATTGTGTGTATCCAACCCGCTGGATGAGCCATGGATGCTAAGTCAAACCCAACATATCAAAACCA